GAATGGTGAACAACATTAAATATTCAGTTACTTTTAATGATTGTTGCCACAGCATTCCAACTCCGCAGAATATAGAAGCTGGGCCAAGATGCATATTAGAAATATTCAAAGACAGTTCCAAATACCCTTAAGCCACTAACAACCTGTGGTGCAATCTGAGAACCAGAGTCGGAAAGTGTGTAGGAAGGGCTTTTAATGTAATATTGAGAGAAGTGAAGAGTTATAAATATCCAGTGAATTATTGGAAGCAGTGGATGACTCTTGATTCTTTATTAGGATGAGAACATGAATTAGTTCCATCAAGTTTTAAAGATAACAGCCATCTTTCTTAGGCCCTTTTATAATGACAGTGTTTGGGGGCAAGGAATGACACTGTGGAACTCAGACATCCGTATGATACTTCCACCTTCCATTTCTGGGTTTAACACTCTTTCCATTTGACTTGATACTCACTACTTCCCAGTTTCCAGAAGGAATATTGCACTACTAGGGAAGTATATTAGAGTATATCTTTGCCTGCACTGGTGCTTACAGGACAAGGAAGGTAGGTCCTATACCAATCTGCTACATCTCAATTAGATAGACCTTTCAAATGAAGGTCAAAGATCTGTGCATCTGTGCATTTGTGCATCCAAGATGTAAGGGAATACAATATTAATATTGGGTAAATATTTTAATTTTTCAATGTATATATTAACTTGTCCAATTAGATTATCTATCCAGCTTGCTAACTATTTATCTAATATCAAACATAGACTGATAGAACACTGATGATTTGATTGAACGAAAGTCCAGCAAAACCAAAGAAAATAAAACATGACATTTTAAGATTTTCAAATAGATTTGTGTGATTTTTTTTAACTCAGAAGGAAATTAATTTAGTCATTTAAACTCATGAAGTAGACAATTTTCTAACAAGCATGAGTTCCAATTACAATCGCTGTGGATGCTGACCAATAAAAGAAGTGGGCATCTGTTCTCAAATGTGTGAAGAAAAAAATGCCACTTATTTAATTACTCACTAATATTTTCTGATACCACACTATGGAGTAAAACTGTCCAGCCTCGCTGATATTTGGGGAGAGGAGTCATATCTCTTCTTCCCTAGAGAAAAGTCCTGGATAAATGTTTCCTTTAATTGTTTTTGTCCCTTAAATAGAAGTACTAACATTTTCATACATTTTTTATGGTCATGTTGAATCATGAAATATTAACATTTATTAAGGATTCTATATTTTGCTATTCATGAAATCCATTGTTATGCTCTCTATTACATTTGGAAATGAAAAAAAAAGTTTATCACTAGTAAAAAATCTCAGATGTTTCATTGCTTTAAAAAATTTAATCTACTTTTTTAGTACTAATGTAATTATTTAGGGATTAAAAATATTGCATAATTGTTTATCTTAATTAATTTTTTGCCTCTTACAATTTATTGAAAAATAAACTACATAATAACAGAGTAACTTTGAAAGGTAAAAGGGGAATTAAATGACTGACGATAAAAGCAAGTGTAATTTAAATGCTACTTCCAAGGAAAAATTTATGTAGAACTGTGGTTTACAATAATTGTTGACATATTTCCCTAAGTACTGTGTCTGTGATTTTTCATGGTATCAATCATTTAAAGCAATTTAGATAATAACATTCTGACATGCATTTCTGCTATTTTATTTACGCCATTTGCCTACATCATTGTAATGCAGTACGTTTCTGATTTGGTACAGTAAATGCACTCTGTAATATCTATTATGACATGGTCAAAGGATAATTTATTGTCAAATAGAAAAATAGGTCAACACTAATGTCACTTGATGATCAACCCCCCCCAAGTTTAATAAAACATCTCACCAGTATGCATTCCTGTGCAGTGGTTGATATTTTATTAGGACTACCTGGCTATAGCAGTAGTGTAATTACTGAGCTGTCAGAGTGATAAGTGGGATTAATGGCAGCCTGATGCACTTTAGTCTGCAGAGCGCTTAGAGAATTGCAAGATGGTATTATTATCAGAGTCTGCCCATTCTGGCATATTCATTGCACCAAAGAAAAAAAGAATGCTACAATTCAGGTTTGCGTTGCCCTGCCTCATTAACATCTGACATTTCCAACAGCTGTTATTTGTGAACTAGCTCAATAATAAAAGGAGAATTATTTGGTAAGAAGGGCTTAATAGCCACAACAAAAAATCCTTACATTGTCAGTGCTGTTAACTGAATCTGTTTAGGCTGAATTTAAGATTTTTCTGGAAGAGCAAAAAAATACACTGTGCATTAATTTGGTTCATTCATACCTACCGATGTTGTAACTTTATTTTTTAATTGCCTTATTCAAGTTAGATGTTAGGGGTAACCAGAATTTATAGGAAATAAGCATGTTTGTTGCTATATTCATATGGGATGGCAGGAATTTTTTAAACTGTAGAGATGACTATTTTTAAAAAATAAATTAGAAAATATTTAAGATGGAACATTATTTGCTAAATTTTTAGCTATTTTGATTTTATCACATAATAGGAAATCCTTTCAAACTGCCGTTGATGTTTAACATATATGTAAACATGAGAGGTAACATATGTTAAGTAGCACCCCATTTTAGCATTAAGGACCAGATAGACCATATATTTAATGGGTTTTTTTTTTTTTTTTTTGCCTTATTTTGAAATGCAGTCTACAAATAATTACTTTAAAAAATTGTGTTGAATTTACTGACAGTTTTTCACGGGAAAAAAATCATAAGTGTAGGAAGATAGAAATTCAGCCAAATGATAGATATGAATCTAACAATGGCATTTAGAGAAATGATAGGGGAGAGGTTTAATGACTACACTTCAGAAAGGACAATTGATTATGAAAAGCCTTCGGTACTCATTGTGTAAAATTTAATTTAGAGAGAAGGCTAAGGGCACAAACCAGAGAAAAGAGATCAGATTTAAAAACAAGATATTAATTAGGTACTGAGAAATTGGTTCAGGCAGTGAGGAGGCCTCTTCTATTCACAAAAGAATGACAAGGAGATCAGTATTGTTTTCTTGAAGGAAACGAACCAAGGTCTTTACACATGGAAAGTAGACAGAAAATGAGCTAGCTAGTCACCTTTGTCTCTGAACAATGTAGGATTCATTCTCAGTGAAATTCTTGGAGAATTTCTGGTCTTGTGACAGATGTGACCGTATTATATCTTTTTAAGTTGTAGCTTTCCAGCCTAATTTCTCTCTACTCCTACTTTTGCTTTATGTTCTAGCCAGACCAAATTGCATTTATTCATCTATCCTGACATGTTCTTTTTTTTCCAAGCCTTGGCACATGCTGTTTCTATTCCTGGGGTATTCTTGTGACTGACCCTGTGCCCCAACTCCCACCTTCCTTTGCTTCCGTAATGTCCACTCATTCTTTAAACTTCTACGTAAGTATTCCTTCTCCCAAGCAGCCTTTCCTGCCTCTCTCCCTCCAGAACTAATGTTCATATGTGCTCCATTAGTATGCTGTATTTCACCCAAATTCACATTGACTAGAGTGCAAGTTGTCCTTTATATGTCTATACTTCCTCCAGATTGCAAGTTCCCATGAGAGGACCATGATGATCTTGTTCATCACATTTGTGTTCTCAGATCCCAGAGTCTGTCATGTAACAAGGGCTCATTAAATATTTGTTAAATGAATGAACAAATTGAAGAAACACATAAAAAGCTAATGTACAAATAAAGGAAAACTATTCAGTGGTTTTAGCTTTCCCGAAATAGTAATTATAGATTTGTTGTTTTCACAATGTGGTTCCAGCCATGTGTATCAGAATTACCCGGGGGTCTTTTTTTTATTTGCATTTCCACCCCCCTGCAAAAGGCAGATTCCCAGGCCAATAACTCAGACTTACCAGGAGCTTGTCTATGGACTCAATGCCACTTATCAAATTCTCTGTGTGTTTTTTTAAATAACTATGATGAGATTGGGATGCAATAAATTTATCTAAAGAGCAACATCTGTAGAGGAGTGAAGGAAGCAGGATTGGGTGGACTGGGACATATCCACAACAAAAGCCTATGGATGCCTGAAGACTTGTTCTCTAAATGGACGCAGCTGGACTGGGCTTCTAACCTCCCTCATTGACCTGTAATTCCATGCCTTCTGTCACTGGAAAGGAGACATGACCTTGGATGAACCTGTTATCTTTAGCTGAGGGAACAGCAGCTGGGGGAATAAATGTTTTGGTCTTGAAGTGGGTGGTTTTGGGTTAAGCATTGTTGGGTCTCCTACAGAGCCCAGTTGCCATGTGAATTATATGCAGATGGAAAGACTTCAGAAAATTAGAGGGGTAAGGGAGGGGAGCAAGAAAGGGTGTTACAAGTGGTAAATGAAGAAGTTTAACCTTTGTATTTATATAACAATTATAGTCATCAAGGCATACAAACCTTTCATTAGAAAAGATTGTACGGTCTAGGTATTGTCAATGAATTCAGGGGTCAAAACAATAACGATAAAGTAAATGAGTCAATGTTGTTGTTAGGTGCTGTCCAGTTGATTTCCACTCATAGTGACCCCATGTGACAGTAAAACTATCCCATAGGGTTTTCTAGAATGTAATCTTTACGGGAGCAGATTGCCAGGTCTTTCTCCCATAGAGCCACTGGGTGGGTTGGAACTCCCAACCATTCAGTTAACAGCCGAGCTCTTAACCATTGCATCACCAGGGCTTACTAAAATGAGTGACTGATACGTCTTAAATAAGTATGATCCACTTAAAATCTAGAAGGAATACTGAAAACAAGGGCAGTTATTAGCCAGAATGATGCTATTTTATATATCTCAGGAGGTGTACAAAAGTGAAATACAGAAACTAATATATTTACTTTATTGCCTAATTTTAAACAATATATCTAAAAATAGTGTAATTTTATTTGCTCTTATTAGACAATTGCTCTGAATGGATATAGGGTACAGAATATAGAAAATATTTTCTTGGTTACATTGTTGTTTCCTTAACCCAATTATTTTATTCCCTAGATGCTTGAAATGTGCAGATGCTCCCTGTCAGAAGAGCTGCCCAACTAATCTGGACATCAAATCATTCATCACAAGTATCACAAACAAGGTAAATTGAGATTTAGCTCTGCAAATGGAAGTTAATAACAGCATTTGATGTTTATCTGTTATTACCTGTGATTAAAGCTAAAGCTTGTTTTAGTAAATTTGGTTAAACCATTTAAAATAAAATTTCAACAGGCATTTGAAAATGTGGAACATTTATTAATTAGGATCTTCCAAGTTGTGATGTGATTGGTGTGAAAATTTCAATTGTTTTAAAAATTAATTATGTTGAAATTCATGATTTTTTAAACAAGACATTCCCTGAATAGATTTACTCTAGCTTCAGCTTGCTAAATGCCTATAGATAAGAACTGTCATTGATGATCAAATGTATTTCAAATTTGTGAAATATATTTGCTTTGAAAATAAGTCTAGTACATTGAGACACATCAAGGAAATAGACCTTAGACCTTTTCCATTTACTGAAATTTAGTTAAGTCATTTAAGATTTGGGGTAAGCCTGACAGTCATAACTAAACACACACATACACAAAACAAACAGAAAACAGACTTCTATGAATATGAGTAGAACAAAAGGGAATTTTGATCTTTAGATTTTTTTTTTAATCAGTGTAATCCTGTGTCTAGTTTTCATTCATTAAATGAATGGTTGAGTGCTGGAATGATTAATTAATAGTATCTAAATTTCATTAAAGGAGCACTGAGAGCTCTTGGCCAAGTGTCTTATAATAAAGAGCAAAAGTTGAAGAAGTTTTCCCATAAAGATGTAGAGAATCCTTTTCACGAAGTTTAACACTAATGTTCTAAAAGGTTGCAAAAAATAAATAAGTCCTCTGTAAACAACCAGGTACCTTTTTAGATATAAAGATCATATTCTATATGTTGATTATTAAATATTAGTATATGTATATATAATTAAATATAAAAAACCAAATCAAATCCATTGCCATTGAGTCAATTCTGACTCACAGCGCCCCTATAGGACAGAGTAGAACTGCCTCATAAGGTTTCCAAGGCTGTAACTCTTTATGGAAGTAGACTACCACATCTTTCTCCCACGGAGCAACTGGTGGATTCAAACCATCGACCTTTTGGTTAGCAGCTGAGTGCTTAACCACTGCACCACCAGGGCTCCTCTTAATTAAATATACATATGTAATTGTTGTTGTTGTGTGCCATCTAGTTGATTCTGACTCATAGTGACCCTACAGGACAGAATAGAATCGCCCCATAGGGTTTCCAAGGAGCAGCTGATGGATTTGAACTGCCAACCTTTTGGTTAGCAGCCTGAGCTCTTAACCACTTTCCCACCAGGGCTCCAAGTATACATATAAGTAGATACATGGAAAATATCATATATATATAGAGAGAGAGAAAGAGAGAAATGATAAACAGAATTGTGTAGCTTTAGGACTTTAAAAGCGGTGGAATGATGACATTAATCTGCACGGTTAGATTTATTAGGACTTGAAGTCTGAACCCAGGAAAAATTGCTACCTCTGTACTCTCACGAATAAAGGAAAATATCATCTTGTTTGTACGGTTGTATAATAAACTGAATAATACTTGTTTGTGGAAATGTCTAACATGTAGTAATTGTTCACCGAATGTTTTTTATGTGGAATCATTTATTTCCCTACTCGTTCGATATGGTGAATACTACACAAGTGATTGCTATTGCTGTTGTTATTTATTGAACACCTACTATCTGCGAGACACAGTGCCAGGCACAGGTAAGAGAGGCCCCTTCTATGACCCTCTGCCTTTTTGAAGTTCATAATCTATGAGCAAAAATAGACATATAAAACAAAACCAAACAACCTAACTATATTTCAATGTGGTGAGTGCTACAATCCATGCAATTCATGAAGATGAAGAGTATTCAGCATAAGAAAAGGCAGGAATGTGGGAGAGTACATGGTGGGTTTATGGAATTCTAATCAATTCATTGTGGCTAGAATAGAGTGTAGCTTCATGAAGAAGAGTGGTGGGAAAAACAAAAGGCAAATAATTTCCAATTAGGTTATGACAATATTTGAATACCGTATGAAATGGTATTCTGGGAAGATGATTGCTGAGAAGGGATCTCATTTATTAACTTCACAGCATCCTGATCATCTTCCATCACAAGACTTTTGTCTAATGTGTAACACAACTTATGTGAGACTTACATGAAATCTTATTTGTTTGATAATGACCTCATCTCAAAAGGAATAAAGCAAAACACGCAGATTTTGGTCAGTGAGTGTTTTGGCTAAAAATGTACTGCTTTGGATATCGAGTATATTGCTTCTGATATCAAGCATGAGGAGATATGAAAACTATGATGGACCATCTTGGAACATCCACCCGAGCTAAGTTTTACCTGCCCAGCTAGCTCGGTCGGTAGAGCACAGGACTCTTAATCTCAAGGTTGTGGGTTTCTGCCCCATGTTGGGCGTTTCATTGGAGCTGTGGTGGCACAGTGGTTAAGAGCTCAGCTGCTAACCAAAAGACCTAGGTATTACCTAAAAATTCAGTATTTACTTTGGAATTCTAATTAGCACACATTTGATTCATGCAAGGTCTACACAAGTTTAAAAAATAAAGAAAGGGAGAAGGGAGAAATAATGTTCTTTGAAAAGTTTATAAAATGTCTAAATAAACTCAGAGCCATGTCTATGTTAAGAAAACCTTTTTCTTTGAAAAGTTTCATATTCTTTACTATCTAATGCAGCATTGCACTTAGCTATTTATTGAAACAGATTTTCATATAAGATATTTGGTGATATTGTATGGAAAATATAACCTTTTGTCAGACATTTAAGAAACTCTTTTGTAGGCAGTGTTTTTGTTGAAGAACCACTGTAACAATCATAAAAGGTCAGAGATTCCTTTTCTTTAAAGCCTGCAGCTTTTTAGATATTTACTGGCTGTGTACAATGTAGGCTGTCCCATATTGGTCTGCTGGTGGACCTCAACTCAGGAGGGGGATTCTTTCCAGGTTGAGAGGTAATTGAATCCCCAGATTCGAAGAGACTTGCACCTCTTTGAGAAAAGGATGTCACTTGTGTTGCATTGTGTTAGGCTTCTGTGATCAGTGGAGTTTAGGCCAATACTTCCATTCTTTATTTTCTAACAAACTGGATTACAGCTCTAGTTTCCAAAGGTACACTCAATTCTATTGTACTTCCTCAGTCAGTATTTCTCTGTTTCGTTCGTGCAGGGTGTTGTTTGCAATTCTGTCTCTCAATTGGAAGTACCCATTTCAGAGTCATCAAACTGTGAATACTGGGTTATGTTTCTTGATAGTTTTCCTGTTAAAAAACACTATATAACAATTCATGAAGTCAATCTATAAATGTAGTGGAGAAAAAAAGCACCTGTGTTTTAAAAGCGTTACTTGATTTCATGATCCTTATTTCAAATAATAAAGATATTTTGTCCTTTCCAGAATATTATATTGAATTGTAAAGCATTGACTTTTACATTAATGTGCACAATTTTGCATGACTTTTATGTATGGATAAATAAATTTAACAATACACATTAGAAAAAAGCTGGCTAAATGATTCCATGTAAAATGAAAGGTTTTTCTTCATGAAAGAACCCTATTGAATGTAATTGGGAGTCAAAGGTGCAACAAAATCTAACCAGCAGAATTTATTGACACAGTTGCAATAGTATCTGTGTTTCAAAAGCAACAAAAGAAGGTTTTTATGATATATGTGTATGTATATCATACTGGTGTTGCAAGGAACACAGCAACTATACACATGGACCTCACCAGATGGAAAACACAGGAATCAAATCAACTACACCTGTGGAAAGAGATGATGGAGAAGCTCAATATCATCAGTTAGAATCAGGCCAATGACTGAATGCAGAACAGATCATCAATTGATCATATTGTTCATAATGAAGCTGAAAAAAAATTTTAAAAGTCCACAAGAGCCAAAGTATGACCTTGAGTATATCCCAACTGAATTTAGAGACCATCTCAAGAATAGATTTGACACACTGAACACTAATGACTGAAGACCAGATGAGTTGTGTGAAGATGTCAAGGACATCATACATGAAGAACACAAAAGGTCATTAAAAGACAGAACAGAAAGAAAAAATCAAAATGAATGTCAGAAGAGACTCTGAAAGTTCCTCTTGAACATAGAGTAGCTAAAGCAAAAGGGAAGAAATGATGAAGCACAAGAGCTGAAAAGAAGATTTCAAAGAGCGGCTCAGGAAGACAAAGTAAAGTATTATAATGAAATGTGAAAAGAACTGGAGTTAGAAAACCAAGAGGGAAGAACATGCTTGGTGTCTTAGTTATCTAGTGCTACTATAACAGAAATACCACAAGTGGATGACTTTAGCAAAGATAAATATATTTCTCCACAGTAAAGCAGGCTAAAATTCCAAATATGGGGCATCATAAATCTTCTTCCCCTGAACTAGGAGCTTCTCTGCTCAGGAACCCTGGGTTTAAAGGATCCACTCTGCTCCCGGCACTGTTTTCTGGGTGGTATGAAGTCCCCTTGTCTCTCTGCTCACTTCTGTGTTTTATATCTCAAAAGAAACCAGCTCAAGACACAGTCCAATCTTGTAGATTGAGTCCTGCCTCATCAACACAACTGCTGCCCATCCCCCCTCATTGACATCATACAGGCAGGGTTTACAGCACATAGGAAAATCACATCAGATGACAAAATGGTGGACAATCACACAATACCAGGAATCATGGCCCAGCCAAATTGATACACACATTTTTTGGGGGATGCAATTCAGTCCATGATGCTCGGCATTTTGGAAGCTGAAAGAACTAAAGAAAAAATTCAAGGCTTGCATTGCAATATTGAAGGATTCTATGAGCAAAATATTGAATGACACAGGAAACATCAAAAGCAGATGGAAGGAATAGAGTTACTGTATGAAAAAGAATTGGTCGACTTTCAACCATTTCAGGAGGCAGCATAAGCTTAAGAACCAGTGGTCCTGAAGAAAGAAATCCAAGCTGCACTTAAGGTGTTAGCGAAAAACAAGGCTCCAGGAACTGACCAATACCAA